TCTGGCTAGACCAGAGGATGTATACTGGTACAGATAGGAACTGGAAACACAGGGAATCTAGGGCGAATGATCCTTTCAGAGCCAGTGGTGTGAGTGGTGATACTGGGAGGGTGGAGGGAGGGTGAGTTGGAAACGGGGAACGATTACAAGGATTTACATATAACCTACTCCCTGGGGGGTGGCCAACAGAAAAGTGGGTGAAGGGAGATGTCGGACAGTGCAAGACATGACAAAATAATAACTTATAAATTATCAAGGGTTCATGAGGGAGGGGAAAAATTAGGAGCTGATGCCAGGGGCTTAGGTGGAGAGCAGATGTCTTGAGAATGATGAGGGCAATGAATGTACAAATGTGCTGGACACAATTGATGTATGTATGGATTGTGATAAAAGTTGTATGAGCCCCTAATAAAATGATTAAAAAAAGAGAGAATAAGGGGGTTTGAGACTGTAGCCCTTTATAGAAATAGAAACCCCATCTCCTCCCATAGAGCAACTGGAGGTTTCAAACTGCTCAAACGCGCCTCGCAGTTGTTGGTAAGCTGCCCGCACCTTGGCTGAAATAGCAGGTGAGGCCCTGGCAGCAGTCTTTCATGCATGGAGCCGTTAGGCTCTAAGGTCCAGTTCTCCAGGAGTGAAAGCTGACCCCTCAAGGAAATGGCCCTCAGAGGCATGTGTTCAGCACACAGTTTTGGTGCTTCCTCTGTGCCTGCCGCTGTGGAAGGAACGTCCTGGAGATCGACACATGGATGTGCTCTCCCTGACCTGACGGACGGACGGAAGCAGTGTCTCTCCTCTCCCACCCAGCAGGGCTGTCTGCTCTGGCCAGATTCGCCAAGGGCTCTCCCAGCCCTGGGGCCCTCAGCTGACAAGCCTGTCTATGACCAGGTACTGAGGGGGCCAGAACAGACGGAGGTAGGTCATAATAGCCAGTTTAACAAAACCGGGGGTGCCACGTCCCCCGATTGCCACCCATGCCTGAGTCTTCCCTGTGGTATTGAACAGAGATTGGCTTCCGGGCCAGGGCTGGCTTTCTCACCAGCTGTCTGGGCTTGCCTGCTGCCTGCCCTCCCCCTCTCATTTCCTCTCTCCATGCCCTGCCGCGCTCCGGCCACCATGCCTGAGAAGCATCCCCAGCTTGGGCATCCAGGTCTCCTCAGCAGAGGAGAGAGATCTAGCTTTAGGGTAAAAGCACAGCACCCAAGTCAAGGTTCTAGTTTCTTCACCTATGTGCCACGCAGTCTCAGGATGACGCGTGGGGTCTGTGTGTGTCCTGGCTCATGGAGTTGGGGGAGGGGAGGGGATCCGCGCCCCGCTTGCAGTAGTTCCAAGGAGCACTTCTGGATTAGAAATGAGCCATTTCCAGACCAGGAGGGCCTCTTTCCAGTTAAACTTTGTTTCCAAATGTCAAGAAGTGCTACCTGCCTGCGTTGGGTGGCACCCCGCTCCACCCTGTGTGTGTGTTCTTCCCTCCCCTCCCAGGCTTGAGTGGAGGTGGGCAGTGGGGCCTGGTATAGGGGAAAAAGCTCACTCATGGCTCCCTCGTGTGATCAGGGGCACGCGGTTGTCTCTCGGTCATCTGTAAAATGGCAGTGGGTGGCCTGAATCACTGCGGCACAGGGCCTTGCACATGTGTTAGTGGCGCCTGTGTCACGCGGTTGTCTCTCGGTCATCTGTAAAATGGCAGTGGGTGGCCTGAATCACTGCGGCACAGGGCCTTGCACATGTGTTAGTGGCGCCTGTGTCATCCCTGGGCTTAGCAGGCTTACCTAAGTACAAGACTTCTAGAAAGGTCTGGGAGGGAAAGACTTCATCGGGACCCCCTCTGTCCTGGTCCTCTCCTAGCTGGTCTCGTCTACCCTCAAGGAATCACTTGCTGGGACTGCCACTTGGCACAGCTGAGTGAGGCCCCCGAGTGGCCAGCTGGGAGCCTTGTCACCTACCATAGATGTTGTAAACATTCACACATTCATCCACAGCCCTGACCTGTAAGGTCACTGCTTCTCCTACCTGGTATAGAACCTGAGTGTTCCTGGCTTCCCGCCCCTCACCTGCTTGGCAGAGATTCCTGCCTGCTCTGCCCCTGGCTCTGTAGACTTGGCTCCACCCTCACCGTGCTGCTCACCAGAACCATCCGTGGGGCCGCTCCCCACAGCCAGCTCTTTGAAGCCTCCATGCTTTCTTCACAAAAGGGCCTGAGCGATCTTCCAGTGACCAGATGGGCACGGCTTCCCCTGCCCTTGTTGGAAGCCCTTCCCTGGCTTCTGTTGCTTTCTGGGTACAGTTCACACTTCCAGGGTGAGCCACAGGCCCCTCGGGTCCCACTGCAGCCCACCTCTCCTTTGCTCCCCGGCTCAGTGGATCCCACAGACCCCTCCCACGCCTGCAGGGCCTATGCGGGGACTCTGCCTTCTAGTGAGGCTCTTCCCGATCTTCCCAGTTCGCCCTCTCCTCGTGGAGTGCCCGCCCTTCAGCAGCTGTCTCTCGGGCACACGTTCCTAGGTCCAGCTCCTTGGCTCTGACTCCGTGGTGCCTCTTGTTCTGGGCTGTATTCTCATCGTTGTGGCTGTTTGTCCAATCTGTCCCCCCACTGGACCAATGTCTCCCAAAGGGAGGCTGCGGAAGCAGACACCTATGCTTTCTCCTGCAGTGTGGGCTACGGGACAAAAGTTTTCATTGCCAGAGGTGGTGCTGGGTAATTTTTTTATAAGAGTGGAACCTATGCACTTGGCCATAGACTGCATAACCCCACAGTGACGTCTGTTCCCCGTGGCATCTTCCAGGCCAGGCTCCTGCTGACACCCGGTCTGCATCAGGGAGGCAAGGCGGGAGGGAGGACGGGACTAGGCGGTGAGGGGCACATCCAGGGTCCACACTTGTCGAGCGAGGAGTAGACCAGGTGTACCTGAAGGCCAGCCCCACTTTCACATCGCCGTAGAACCATGGGTGCACTCGGTGAGGCTGGGGGGCTGGCCGTCCCTTGCTGCTTAGGGCCTGTATGCCCACACCCAGCGGCAGGTTATTCCCAGGCAGCAGGCATGCCCAGGGCCGGCCAGCTTGTGAAATAAAAAGATGCTTCAGCAAAAACCCTCAGGTGGTCCATTCCCCCCTGCTCTGCTCCCTGCCATCACCAGACTCCGAAGACAGAACTAGGCCTCTGCCCTTAACGAGCTTCCACAAGGCAGGGGGCAGGGAGCAGCCTGGTGTGCAGAGCCCCATCACCATTGGCAGTGGGAGTACTTGCTGACTGACCCCTTACTTCCCAGGAGATGGGCACGTGTGTCCCCATTTTACAGATGGGGAGGTTGAGGCTCAGTGAAGTTTATCAACGCATCCTAGAATGCTCAGCTAGTAAGTGGCAGAGCTAGGATTTGAACACAGATGGCATGGAATCAGAGCCCACTGTCTTCAAGGCTATATGACGTTGCCTCCCTAGGGAGGAGACTCAGAGGAAGGAGAGGCAAGCTCTGTCCTGAAGAGCCCAGGGAGAGCTTCCTAGGGATAGGGAAATAGGAGCTAGGCTGGAAGGCTGAGGGGGCGTTTCTGGGCTCGGGCTGAGCAGGGCACCCCAAGGTGTGGACAGATAGGTCCAGAGGCCTGACAGTGCGGGGAGTTCAGTGAGCTCCGAGAGGTTGGTGGTGCTTAACCATGAAGGCAGAGGGGCAGGTGGAAGTCGGTTGGCTTGGCCCAGATGAGGAAGAACCTTGACTGCCCAGCCAAGGAACTGCTGAAGGCCCTGGACATCCATATTTGCCTGTGGTTCTATGTGTGACTCTACTGACCTCAGCAACCTCAGGGCTGAAGCTCTGAGCTCTGTCTGTCTCTCTTACGGCAGGAGAGGTGCTGAGAGGGGACCGGATTGTCAACACCCCTTTCCAGGTTCTCATGAATAGTGAGAAGAAGTGTGAGGTTCTGTGCAGCCCGGCCAACAAACCCATGACGCTGACCGTGGAGCAGAGCCGGCTGGTGGCTGAGCGGATCACAGAGGACTACTATGTCCACCTGTAAGTGGGCCTCTGCGCCCTGCTGCCATCGGCTTGGGGGTGGAGGTTGGTGCGGGCGATGGCACACTTGAGAGAGGCCCTCCAGAAGCACTGAGCATGGCATTGGTTTCCAGCATTGCCGACAACCTGCCTGTGGCCACCCGCCTGGAGCTCTACTCCAGCCGTGACAGCGAGGACAAGAAGAAGGAGAAGGACGTGCAATTTGAGCATGGCTACCGGCTGGGCTTCACGGACGTCAACAAGGTGGAGTATCTGCGCTGTGCGTGGCCGGGGATTTTGGGGGCCCTGCCAGGAGGGGAGACAGCATCCCTCCAAGGTCAGACTCCATGTTAGAAGATTAAAGGCAATCCCTTCCCCCACACAAAAAAGTGGGATTTCATCATTTCTTAGGAGAGGGCTACATCGTAGTCATGACCTGTGGGCCCCTGGGTTGGATCATGCCTGCCTGCGCCTGCAGCTTCCCCTCTGTGAGCCTCCCTGTCCTCAACTGTGAAACGCAGTGCCAGCCATCTGTGCCCCATGGGGGTGTACAGAGAGCAGCAAAGCGTCCCTCTGGGCCCACTGTAGCACACACTCAAGCCATTGCCATCAAGTAGATGTCCACTGAGTAGCCTTGTGGCCCCCGATGGACAGGACAGGGTAGGACTGCCCCGAGGGTTTCTCAGGCTGAAGTCTCTGCAGAGAGACTTCACTGCCATATCCATGTTCCGGCGCCAGCCTTTAGGTTTGCCGCCAGTCCCTTCAGCCTCGGCGCCGGGGTTGCTTCCTTCTAGCACCAGACACTCCGAACCGCACCCACTGCCCTCGTGTCCCAGCAGGCGCACAGTAGCCCTGTAGGGCGGGCTAGGAGCAGCTCCGTGGGTCTCCCAGGCGGAATCTGCACAGGAGTAGAAAGCCTCCTCTTTCTGGTGCTGCCACACTGCTGCCCTCTGGGTTGTCGTGGCACAGTGTGTAAGCACTCGGTCAGCAGGGCCCCATTCTCACGGCACAGCCCTGAGAAGTAGGCTTACGGAGGCAGGTCTCTCTGCCCAGCTTTCTCATGATCTGAACTCATAGCGCCCACTCGGACTGAAGGGCAGGGGTGTTTCTTTTGGGGTACAACCCCATCCTGAAGGCTTCTTCCCTGACTGGAAAGAGCATTGGCAGAATGAGGCCCGAATCTTGGTCCCACTTACCTTTCCCCAGAGAATTCCAGAAAGGGCACGCTGTGTGCTTAGACTGCCCCTGAAGTGGGCAGGGGCAGAAAACAGGGAGACTTGACCTGAGTGGAGTCGGGTCCCATTCCAGCGGGGTGAGTGCTGTGAACAGGGAGAGAGCAGGGACTGATCCTGGGGCAGGTGGATTAGTGCAGCTTAGAAAATGATGGGGGGAAAGAGAGAGAGAGAAGAAAATGATGGCCCGAATGCCTAGGTGAGGGTTGGAGACGGCACGGGGAGAAAGAGCAGTGCCCTGGAAGGTGGGAGCAGCTGAGTGTGGGCGGGGCGCCTGGGTCTGGGCTCCTAGCCCCGGTCTGCATTGCTCTCTTCCAGATCTATCTGCACAATCACCTCTCGTTCATCCTTTACTACCACCGGGAGGACGTGGAGGAGGACCAGGAGCACATGTACCGCGTCGTCCGCTTCGAGGTGATTCCCCAGAGCATCAGGCTGGAGGGTGAGTGGGGAGGTCTGGCCAGAGGGGCAGGGCTGGACGGGCTGGGCTTCCACACCCAGGGGCTCCTCACCCCTGGCTCCTGAAATGCCCTCTAGACTGATGGGCCTGGGTATGGCCTTTGGCCTGCCTGAGCCAGGGCCACCTCATTCCCATTCCAGAGGGGTGGGAGGGCTGACATTTGTCATGCCCAGGGGTGCACACCTCACCATTCTTAACCACCTCCCAGCGACCTCCCAGGAGGCAAGCCTGCTGGCTACCGAGGAGGACCCAGAGACTCAGAGGGGCTGTAACCCGGCCGAGGGCAGGGCTGCAGCTTCTTCTGTTCTGCTCCCTCTGCTGGGTGAAGGATGGGCCCAGTCAGCAGGGAGAGAACTTGAGAGCCTAGGCCAGCCCTGGTGAGGCCTGCCCAGACCTGGTTTCAGCATCCTCTCATCCCCCCTCCCCCACCACAGGGCCTGGCCTCTGGTCCACCTGGTGGTTTTCTGAATGCTCTGGAAGTGCGTTTCAGATACAGTCTTAGACAGACCCTAGTGTAGGATGTAGACCAACCCCCTCCCGCCCCGGGGCAGTTACATGGGCAGACTGTGCTTGTCTGAACGTGGGGCCTTGGCAGCATCTGCTCTTGAAGCCTGGAAACCATGGCCAGTACCCAGCACGGGGCCTGGCGCAGCCACAGCCCTCCAGTTACTCCCGCCTCAGAGCCACCCTGGGCAGGGTTTCCGAGGCGAGACCACTGCTTGGAGCAGGACCCCCTCCCCTGCTCCCCCGAACCACAGGTGGGCTTGAACTTGCGGCTAGCAGACTGATGCTTACAGGACAGCGCCACCAGGGCGCTTCACCTGACACGTAAAACATGCCTCTTCTCAGCCCTCGGGTTGAATGAATGACCTGAGGGACAGGTGAGGAGGTGGGTGAAGGAAGGAAGGCGGCATCTTCAGGACTGAATCGCTAACATGCCAGGAGGACTGACTGAGTGAAGGATGCACGTGGTGGGGCGGGGTGAGGCAGCGCTGTGTGCTCTGTGGGGTGCTGGCGGAGTGGAGAAACGGGTGGGTGCAGTGGAGAAAGACTGAGAGGCCAGGGCTCTGGGGAGCCAATGTCACCAGCTGTCCCTACCTCCCCTGGGCCCCGAAGGCCTGGTTCCCGGCAGCTGCAGCCCCCTCAGGACAAGACTGAGTCTCTGTCTCTCACAGACCTCAAAACAGATGACAAGAGCTCATGCACCCTCCCCGAGGGGACCAACTCCTCACCCCAAGAAATTGACCCCAGCAAGGAGAATCGGCTCTTCTTCACCTACTCTGTACACTGGGAGGTGAGCGACCCGGAGCAGGGACAGGGAGGAGGGCTTGGGCCTGACCAGGAGCTAAGTACTCCCTCCCCCACCCAGGAAAGCGACATCAAGTGGGCCTCTCGATGGGACACTTACCTGACCATGAGTGACGTGCAGATCCACTGGTTTTCCATCATCAACTCCGTGGTGGTGGTCTTCTTCCTGTCGGGTGAGTGGTCTCAGGAGTCTGCAGGGGGTGGGGGCTGCTGCGGCGTTTTCAGGGCCAGTGTGGGGCACCCCAGGCATCAGGTGGACAGAGCTACAGGTGCTGTCTGCTTTGGAGCGCTCACCACAGGAAGTCAAATCCAAGGGGCTGTCCACAAGTTCATGGGGAAATTCTGTTCTCTCTCTCTGTTCCCTTTGTCCATGAATGTTTTGAAGCTCCCTCTGTCCTTTCTATGATGGATTCAGCCAAGGTCCTTTTGCTGCCATGCCCAGGTGTCTAGCCAGCCCCGCCCACGGTCTGCCCTCCTGGGCTCTGTTCTAGTGGTGGGAGGGGAGGGGGCTCCTGACACAAACAGCAGATGAGCAGTGGGGTTCCCACTGAAGCCAAGCGCTGTGGCCAAGGGGAAGCGTGGGCAACGGCTCCTTTAGAGAACGGCTGTGGGGGGAGGAGGTCCATCATTCAGAGACCCAGGGAGAACCCTGCTCTGCAGCCGGCCAGGCTGAGCAGGAAGCGGCTGGTGAGGGTGGTGGGCAGAGGTGAGTGAAGTGACTCATTTCACCATCAAATGAGAAGGCAGGAGAGCGTGGTTGGCTGCCATCGAGGCAGTTCCAGCCTGTCGCCACTCTACCACACGGTTTCCAGCTAAGCCTGTCAAGCTTCACGAGCGCAGACAGCCAGCCTCCTTCTCCTCCCTGGGAGCGCCTGGTGGGTTTGAGCCACGGACCTTGCCGCTACGGCCACTGCCGTGGCCTGCTGGCTTGCGCTGGCTGGGTTGTCCGAGGCGATCGTGCCAACCCTGCTCGAGGCCATGTTAGCTCCTGTTGGTGAAGTGTTCCAGCGGGAGCAGCTGCTTGGTCAAGGACTTCACGCTGCAACATCTCAGTCCTTGAAGCTCCATGAGCTAAACCTAGAAGCAGTGGCACCGTTAGCTCCAGATCAGAGAGCCTCGAGAGGGACCCAGGGCCATGGACATACAGAGAAGGGGCCTCTGAGCCGCTAGGGCTGTCGAGAGGGGGAGCTGCCAGTCAGCATGCGGAAGCATGAGGATTAGCCAGGGCAGGGAGGGGTATGCAGACAAAGGTAGTGAATGGCTGGGATCCAGGGGCTTCCTGAAGAGCTAACGAAAAGAAAACCAACAAGTCGCCAGAACTAGGGGAAGATGGGACTGGAGTGGAGAAGCTGGGGCTGCGCTTCCTGGAGCATGAGGAGTGTCCTTGCCCAGCTGCTTTTCATCCCCCTCCCTGGGGGTCCCCTCCCTGGACCTGAGACCCTGCACTGCCAGCTTCTGCTGGAGGAAGCCACACCATGCCAGGCGACAAGGCTGGTCATGCTCATGACTGCTGCTCACCCGTCTGTTTCAGGCATCCTGAGCATGATCATCATCCGGACCCTCCGCAAGGACATTGCCAACTACAACAAGGAGGATGACATTGTACGAGGTCTTGGCTGGGGAGGGAGGGACCAGGAGGCAGAGGGCAGAATCAGTGAGGGGGGGTAAGGGGCTGGCTAGCAAAGTAGCACTGTGAATCGTTTCCATGTGAATCGTTGGCCAGGAGACAAGCTCCTTCACATACCACCCGCGAAAGCATGGACCATTTTCTGAATGGCAATTGGCAGTTCATGAAAGAACTGTAAAATAGGAGCTTCCCATGAAAGGATAATTATTCTAGTCGAATTTTCCTCGGAATCCTGAGTCACGCCTGGCACTTAATCCACAGATGTTTACCGCAGCTTTGTTTATAATTGAGAGAAGTCAGGTAGAGCCGTTTTGCCCCACCTGCAGAGAAGTTAAATTATGACTTAGCCCCACCGGGAAGGTTGTGTAGACTTGAACACTGGCTGTTCAGGAAATGCCCACAGCCCAGCTGAGAGTGCCACTGAGAGTGACAGATGCACAGTCAACGCAGCGTGTGCCCGAGGGACACGTCCGTGCCGCCTATGCACACGTCACAGCGCGGAGACCCAGGAACAAAGTTCCTCACCCTGGAGTCGATTCTGACTCATAATGACCCTCCCAAACAGAGCTGAACCACCCCTGTGCGTTTCCATGACTGCAAATCCTATGGGAGCAGAAAGCCTCGTCTTTCTCTCCCTGAGAGGCTGGTGGTTTTGAACTGCTGACCTTGGCATTAGCAGCCCAGCACATAACCTACTACACCACCAGGGGGTGACATCATCAGATACTAGTCTCTTCCTCACACCTTTCTGTATTTTTAGAAGTTTGTCTGGCAGCATTATTTACTCATTTTTGTTCATTGAAAATCATATTAAGAAACTAAAAATCGATTTTACTTTTTTCCTTTTAACTCATACAAGCCAGAGCACCTGTTTCTGCTGTCCAACCCCCGTGTGTGGCAATGCAGCCTCTCTGGGCTTTAGAGCTAGAGTTTGGGGGTGATTTCTCCTGCTGAACCCTGGCCATCCTGGCTGTCCCTTCCTGTCCCCTGTGGTGCTCTTTTGAGGAGCACTCTCTCCCGTCACTGACACCCCTGTGTTTTCAGATTGTGCCAAGAAGGGACTGGTGAGCCCCTGAGGGATGCTCAGCCTGCAGGGGGCATGGGTCTTTGGGGGCTGGTCCCTGCGGGCCCCTGTCACTCTCTCCCTGGCCTGCAGGAGGACACGATGGAGGAGTCGGGGTGGAAGCTGGTGCACGGCGACGTCTTCCGGCCCCCGCAGTATCCCATGATCCTCAGCTCCCTGCTGGGCTCGGGCATACAGCTCTTCTGTATGATCCTCATCGTCATCTGTGAGTGCGCTGGGGCAGCAGGGACAGTACCTCAGGGAGAGCAGGGCGGACGCCCAGCTGAGGACGAAGGCTCGGTCCTCTTGGCCTCCCAGGCCAGTCCTGTGTGCAGTGTCCGCCATGGCCACTCAGTCCCTGAGGCTCACATCTCGGCTCTCTGAGGGGCCTTCTGTTGCGACTCAGCAGTCAGGAATGGCACTGGAACAAAGTTAAGTGACCTGCCCAAAGGTCACTTTTGGCTGGTCAGTGCCAGGGGGAGGACCTAAACAGGCTCCTTTCTCATGGTTTTAGTTGGCTGTGGAGTCCGTCTGCCTCGGTGTCCCTCTCAGCCCTGTGACCTCAGGCCAGCCCTTCACCCAGGGCCTTCGTTTCCTGGTCTGGAAACCGGGGGAGATGGCCCTCTCACTGGCAGGGAGACAGGTGGTCAGTAAGCCAGCATCTCCAAGGCCCTTAGCCCCAAACATGCTGTGTCACAACTGCCCTGCGGGCCGGCCAGGGCCTCGGAGCTGCTGCAACCCTCTGAGCCCCACAAAGACCCCCACCTTCTCCGTGCGTGGCAGGGAAGTACCCAAGGGAGAAGGCCGAAGATCTCCAGTGAGAGTGGGTGGTGGGGGCGGCGGGCAGCCCTGACCCTGCCCTCTCGCGCCCTCTGCAGTTGTGGCCATGCTGGGCATGCTGTCACCCTCCAGCCGGGGAGCTCTCATGACCACCGCCTGCTTCCTCTTCATGTTCATGGGGTAGGTCTGAGTGCTGGGGGGTGGCTGAGGCCCGCCACCCCCCCACCCACCCCAGCCCTGACTAACCCACCCCTGCTGCGGCTTGCTGCTCTTTCCCCACAGGGTGTTCGGTGGCTTCTCCGCTGGCCGTCTGTACCGTACGCTGAAAGGCCACCGGTGGAAGAAGGGCGCTTTCTGCGTGAGTGTCCTAACCCGTTTGTTTCTTTGTCTCGCACAGCCCTGGGCCTGTTTCCCCATCTGCCCAGTGGGGTTAGCTCTCAGGGTTGTTGCACAGGTGGAAAGAGAGGTGCACATAAGGCTCTTGGCACAGCGCTGGCACTCAATGCTGAAGGCCCTGGGGTGTGGGGCACAAACACAGTGACCCCAGCAGTGGAGGTGGAGTGCCAGGTTATGGCATCTCAGTCACCACGCTCTGTAGCCTGGGGGCCTCAGGGTGGCAGGAAGGAGCCTCAATTCCGTGTCACGAATGCTGCTTCTACATGCCTAGATCTAGCCCAAAGAGTCTTGAGTAAGTGGGCAGAGAACTGAGGTACTGGTGTCAGGCCACCTGGGCCAGACCTCCCGGTCCGCCCCTAGCGGTGACATAAAGGAGTATTTCTGGGCCTCAGTGTAGAAACGAGGAGCAGTCATCCCATCTCGAGCTTCTGGGAGACGAGAGGTGTGGAGTCCAGCATCTGCTCTCCCAGGACTCAGAGCCTAGCCTCTGTGATGTTGCTGTTGCAACCCAGAGGCTCTGGAGTGGGGCTGAGGCCTGCTGTCTTCTCATTCCAGTCCCCCGAGCCCTCTACCCTCAAACTCTTTGAAGCCCCTTGTAGATGTTGTCTAAGGTAGTCTGTCACTCCTGTACTGAGTGTCCAGTGTGTTCGCATTGCTGGACGGGCAGCCGGGAGGCAGTCAGGCCCTGCTTCTCCCAGGGAGCGCAGCCTAGCGGCCATGGGGCTGGCTCTGACCAGGGAACCAAACCGCATTACAGATGGGCTGAGGGCACAAAGCCGGAGGCCCCCATGTGGAAGTTCAGGAAAGGCTTTCTCGAAGGAAAGAGATGAGCTGAGTACTGAAGGGCTTGGGGGGATGGTGGGGATGGTGTGAGAAGCTGTGGTCTAGGATGCCGCTCCCAGCCTGCGCCCCTGCTTCCAGACAGCAACGTTGTATCCTGGGGTTGTGTTCGGCATCTGCTTCGTGCTGAACTGCTTCATCTGGGGAAAGCACTCGTCGGGAGCGGTGAGTGTCTCCCCATCCCACGGCTGGCAGCTGGGCTCAGCCCTACTTCCTGCCACTCGCCTTCCCGTTTCTGAGCCCCAGAGCTCTGTTCCCATCCCCTGGAGCTCACTGGGGTTTCCCCAGCCCTGCCCATCCATCTGCCCTGTCCTGACCCTGGCCTTCCTGTGGCCTCCTCTGGACCAATGCTCGCTTCTCTAAAGGGAGGTTTTTCACTGTCCAGGGGCCAACTGGGGAATTTCCCTTTGTTCTCAACTGAGGGAGGTGACTGGGTGTGCGTATAATCAGCTAGTGGCCCCAAACGGCATCACTCCCAGCTGCAGCCCTGGAGGTGCGGCCGGAGAGGAAGGGGAGGTTCTGCCAGGCCCAGTCCATTGGTAGCCGCTGCCTAGGCCTCAGCAAGTGGAGGCTGAGCCTGGCTGACTGGTCAGGCGGTGTCTTCTCATGGAGCCGGAGTTGCCATGGCCAGCCGCCCTCCCTGCAGGTGCCCTTTATGAGGCCCCGGGCAGCCTCCCAGGCCAGGCAGCCAGCAGAGGTTGAGAACTACACACTCATTGTAGAAACCGTGGAGAAGTTAGAGAAGACAAATCCTGAGTAATCCAACTGCCAAGGGATAAGTACTCAGTCTGTAATGTGTACTCTTTCCATCTTTTCCCTGTCCACAGATACATGTACAGCGGGAACTGTAACTTTAAAACCATCAAGTAATGTCAACGCGTAACTCACATGGGTGGGGGTGGGAATGGGGGTGCCGGGCCTCGATAAAAGCACTGTGTCATACATGTTGGAGACAAGAAGTCCTTTCTGCACATGTCTTGTGACCACTGTGAGAGAGAGTAAAGAGGGAAATGGGAGTTGGTCTGAACCTCCCACCCTCCACTGAGGAAGTACTGTGTGCTTTACCAAGCAGAGGGGAGACTGTCCGCTCCCATAAAGATTTCTCGTCTGGGGAAGTGAGTTCCCAGGGGCCCCGCTCTGTGATGGTCCAGCCCGAGTGTAGGAACAACACTCACCGTGTGCATATACGTCTACGATGTCCTCCCACCTCCCTTCATTTTCCCAGATCTCTCCTCCTTCCCTGCTCTTCCCACACTGTCTTGGGGCCAAGCTCCTTCTCTGGGACACCCCAGCTGCCCTGGGGCCCAAGGGCAGCTGTGTCCTCAGGCCCTGTGTGCGTGGCGGCCCGTCAGAAACCTGCCCCTGGGCCTTATGGGGGCCTTGTGGGCCCTGTGTCCCCAGGTGCCCTTCCCGACCATGGTGGCTCTGCTCTGCATGTGGTTTGGGATCTCCCTGCCCCTCGTCTACCTGGGCTACTATTTCGGCTTCCGCAAGCAGCCATATGACAACCCCGTGCGCACCAACCAGATCCCCCGGCAGATCCCCGAGCAGCGGTGGTACATGAACCGGTTTGTGGGGTGAGTTCATCTGCGCAGGTGTCCCTGAGCTGTTCCCCCAGTCCCAACCCCAACTCTCTGGTATCTGGCAGACCTGCTGCCGCCTTAGGGCTTAGCTTCCGCTCACTCCGAGCTGGTGAGCAGCAGCCGCAGCAGCCTTGGTGTCGGCCGAGGACCCAGGCCAGGAAGGGGAGTGGGAGGGGTGTGAGACAGGTCAAGTGCAGCACTTAAAATTAAAAGTTAGGCACATCACCTCATCTATCCGTACCTCTTTATAATGGGGAGAATGATCCCCACACTTGCTCCCTCTCAAGGGGTTACTATGCTCCAAACTGCTGCCAAAAGAGGGCACTCTCGCATGCCCTCTCGAGTTAGCTCTTGACCCTGGTGCTGGCCTGGCGGTCTCCCTGCAGCGTCACCCTCCCTCCCACTGCAGCATCCTCATGGCCGGGATCCTGCCCTTCGGAGCCATGTTCATCGAGCTCTTCTTCATCTTCAGTGTGAGTCCTGGGGTCTCACCTTCATCCTGAATGGGAGTAAGAATCCTGCCTGTCTGGGTGGCTTTGAAGGTCAAATGAGCTGGTAGGGGCACTGGGGGAGGTGTTTGAGGCTCGGGGTGGGGGTTGGCGAAAAGACCACGTCAGTGAAACTGCAGTGTGAGTCACCCCCAGGATTCGTCCTGAACCCCTAGCTGTTTGCACCTCAGTTACTTGCTTTAAAACTCTGAGGAAAATGGGGGCGTGGGGGTGGCCCTTGCTTCCCAGGGTCACCGTGAGGCTGAACCGCCTCATGTGAGAGGTGCTGGTTAGTGGCTGCAGAAGTGCGGACGGCCCTCCTGTCCCAGGAGGCCTTCCCAGAGTCACGCCAGCCTGACTGCCGCAGCGTAGTGTGTGATGGGATCAGGACAGTGTCCCCGTCCCTGCCCTGCTGAGTTCCAAAGGGCGCCTTTCCTGAGCCCAGGTGGGGTGTGGGGGCCAACCCCTGAAGGCCAGCTGTGGTCTGTCCACCCGCAGGCCATCTGGGAGAACCAGTTCTATTACCTCTTTGGCTTCCTGTTCCTCGTCTTCATCATCCTGGTGGTGTCCTGCTCCCAGATCAGCATCGTCATGGTCTACTTCCAGCTGTGTGCAGAGGTGAGGCCGGGCCACCCCGATCAGCTCATGAAGAGGCTAGTCTGGGTTTGCAGTAGGGATGCGCACACTCACGCACACACCGGGCCTCTTCCTGGCCCTGAGGTCTTGACTCAGTAAGTGACTTGGCCCCACAGAGCCCACACTGGACTTGGTGACACCCAGCTCAGCGCATAGCAAAGTGGCCACCACAGCTTGGTGAGAGGACAGCTGGCTTGTCAGTTGTGAGTCCACCCCAGTAGTAGCTTTTTCAACAGGTCCATGCAGCCGAGTGACCCGTCCTCCCTCTGGTGACCAGCTCTTGGAAGGGCAAGGTAAACCTGGGCTCTGGAACGAGCTGCCAAGCCCAGAGTCCTGGCTCACCCAGGCAGGAATAGGACCTGCCTGAGGGGGTGCTCAAGGGTCCCGTGAGCTGGCCTGCACAGCACATAGGAAGTGCCAGGCTGGAATTGCAAAAGTTACCTCCTTGTAACCCACGGTCCTGGTATAACCACTATCACAGCAGAGAGAAAGTGTTCCCATCACCCTCCGACCTCTTCTCCCCCAGCGTTGTGAGCGTGAGCTTGCAGGCACCTGTGACCCTCAGGCGGTGGGTCTGCGGGAGATGTGGTGTCACTCTGTCCCTGGTTCCTTCGCAGGATTACCGCTGGTGGTGGAGGAACTTCCTGGTCTCTGGGGGATCTGCGTTCTACGTCCTGGTCTACGCCATCTTTTATTTCGTTAATAAGGTACTGCTCTCCTTAGGGGAGCTCCTTTTCCCTCTCAGGCCAGGAGGGTGCTGGGGGGCAGGGGGAGGCAGGGATCAGATGTCTGGGTCTTACTGTCTTGCCAAGAGAGGGGAGGGCAGAACCATGATAGAACTGCTGCTGCTCTGGAGTCGGGACCTTCGGGGAAAGGAGAGAGTCTCTCTGAGAGTCTCCCTTGTCTGGGAGACAAGAGCCTGCAGGAGAAAAACAGTACATGCACACACACACACACACACACACACACACACACACACACACTACGTGGTGCATTCATGTGTCACCTCACCAGGAAGGCAGGGCTGGGAAAGAGTCGGAAGAAAGATCCCGCATTCCCCCAAAGAAGATAGGCAAGAACAGGAAAATGACAGCATAAAGACAGTTGGTGAGAGGACTTAAAGACAAGACTACAATTAATTGTCTCTAGAACCTAAGGATGGGAGCTCAGGCTTCCTGTTCCGGCCGTGCTAGGAGAGGGCAGGAGGGCTTCCCCTGCATCCAGGAGGCCAGCTGGCAGCTGGACAGCCGGCCCTCCCCAAGTGTGTCAAATGAAAGCGGGGCTCTGTGCCTGGTGTTTGCTTGGTTGGCTTCATTCTGCCGGCATCTCTCTCTACATGGGGACCAGAGGGCGCCCTCGAGCAGGGCTCGCCTTTACTGTCAGGTGTCAGCCTCAGGCAGCCCTGGGGCTGTGGTTGTGAGTTGAGCTGTGACCCTCGAGTTCAGTGGCTCCAAACCACCAGCCATTCCTCAGGAGAAGGATGAGGCAGTCTTGGGAACCCACATGGACAGCTCTCCCCTCTCCCCTAGGGCCTCTCTGAGTTTGCATCGGCTGGATGGCAGTGAGTTGGATTTGGGTTTGGTCAGCCTCAGGGCTTTACTGGAGTCACATGCCCCCTCCACTGTTTGCCAAGACCCCTCAGATGATGTGTCCTGCTTGGCTAGCGTCAGCCTGGCTCGAGGATTGACAGTCCCAACAGAACCACTGGGTAGGGAGTGGGGTCCCCCAAACAAAGAACCTGGAAGAGGTAAGACAGGAACCAGCCACTGTTGTCCTCCACTGACCCCCTAGAGCGAGCATATCATACCCTCTGGTCCTTCTTCCCTTCAGCCCCACTCAGCCTCTCTGACGCTCAGAACCCCTCCTGACCCCTTCTGTGAAATGAGGTCTTTGGCCTGCAGGAGGCCTAGGGCCTTTCCAGCTCTACCTCCTGGCCCCTTTTAACCACCACCCTGCCCCTCCCTCTCCAGCCATGAGAATGTTTCTAAGAATGGGTTGACCACACACAGTGTTCGCCCCCAGTGTGAATTGTCTTCTGGGGTCCTGGCCTCCCAGGACCCTGGGACAGACCTGTTAGAACAGTCTAGAATGTGAGTGTGTTCAGAGCACGGGGTCAGATGTGAATGGAGGTGACGGGAGAGTCTCTGGAGGAGAGGCTGTAGGCCGAGCTGGCTTGCTGGCCTCCAGCTGGGCCCCTGGCACCATCCTCAACCCTGCCTACTGCTCTGGCCTCACAGCAGTCCACTCCTTAATCCTCAGGCCCAAGAAGGGGCACCACTGCGGCCACTGCTACCCAGGCTTATCTCTGCCCTAGGAAGACTCTGCCTACCACTGGAGGTAGTGGCATTGGGCCTTGGGCTTCTCGCTCTTTAGACCCAAGTTCAAATCCCAGCACCCTAGCTGTGTAGCTGGGTGATGGTGAACCCCTGTGCTCCAGCAGTTCAACAGAATAGTAACCTTCCATTGTTGGACACACACACACACACACACACACACACACACACACACACACACACACACGAGGCAGTCCTGGTACACGTACAAGTGTGCCAGAGCTGTGAGCAGCGTTCACTGGCCTTAGTGCTGCCACTACATCATTGGGGTGGCGGGTCACGTTGCTGGGGTCGGCTGGCACTAAGCGTCCACCCGTCTTCTTGCCCCCCCTTGTGACCCAGCTGGACATCGTCGAGTTCATCCCCTCCCTCCTCTACTTTGGCTACACGGCTCTCATGGTCCTGTCTTTCTGGCTGCTCACGGGCACCATCGGCTTCTACGCTGCCTACATGTTTGTGCGCAAGATCTACGCCGCCGTGAAGATCGACTGACTAACCAGGGTGGACCATGGCCAGGCCCACTCTGTCCTCGGACAGGAAAGCCACCCTGCGTGGGGACCCGCAGGCACACAAAATAAAAGTAACTCCTGCTCATTTGGAATGTGACTCCTGGCACGGTGTTCCTGGATCTGGGGCTGCGCGGGGAGGGGCGACCTGTAGATAATCCTGCATTTTCCTTCATCATCATATTCCAGTTCTATGGGGGATGACTTTTTTGGTGGGTTCCCCCCACACCTTTTTTTTTTCTTCCATGCTAAAAAAGTTCCTTCCAGCAGGAACTCTTGAACCTGTTTATTCAGGTTTGTTTTGGGTTTGAGCTTTTGGGGTTTTTTTTCCCCCCTAAGTGTTTTATTTTGGACAAGTGGATCCAGGATGGATAAATTCACCGTGATGCTGGGTTTTGGTCACTGGCTCCACCTCAGTTCCTCAGAGCTGCTGGCCACCCCATGATGACCTGGAAGAGGAGGTGCCGGGAGGCCCTCCTGGGGCCGTGCCCCTGCCGGCGGGCCTTCACCACTGAGTCCAGGATAGAGCACAGCGCGCGGCCCAGACCTGTGTGCTTAGTGCCAACCAGCCTCCGCCACCTGTGCCCGAGAGGGCTTCAGCCAAAAGAGCAAGCTCGAACCACCCTGGCACAGAGCATCAGGAGGGTGCTGTACCCAGCCAGGAGGAAGAGAAGAGACTTGCGGTAGCCTGGCCCCCAGCACTGCACCAAGGAACCTGGAACCAGGGCCGAGTCTGTCTGCGGAGGGGGACTGCAGCCGCCCCGTCGGGATTGCACCGATCTGCAGGAGGCTGCTCCTCTCCCCAGCATGTGCTGGAAACAGGCCCCTCCTTTTGTGGGCAGGGAGGGCCTTCTCTGTGTGGGGTCCCGGGCCTCCCTCCATGTCCACACTCTCACACACACACACACACACACACACACACACACAGCCGCCTCTCCAGGACTCCCAGAAAAGAAAGCACTGTGAGGAGAAAGGGGAGGTAAGTGCTGCGGGGCCTGCCCGAGGCCCTAGGGCTGGTCAGGGGCCCAGGCTCTGGGCAGTTAGGACAGGGCTGCTCCACCCCACCCTGTCCCACCCCCACGTCAAAACCGTTCGTGGTCCAAGACCAAACCCACTCTGGGTGAGCGGGTAAGTGGGACTCCCATCACGAGACACAGCTCCCGCTGCAGGGGGGCTAGCTACACCCCCAGTCTCCCAGCAGCCCTCACCAGCTCCATCAGTCCAGCCAGTGAGCTGCTCACTGGTCTCTTGGTGACCGGCAGTGCCAAGCAGTGTCCACCAAGATCCCATCAAAGAGAGGGAACCCAAGCATAAAGAATGATTTTGAAGTCATTCATTCAACCTTGAATTCCCCGCCCCCCCCCCAAGAGGTTGGTTTGTTTTTTTTGTGGGGGAGGGAGTGGGAGTGGGGCAATGACTCCTCTGAGGGATCAGTCAGTATCGATTTCTCTCTTTTTTAATCCTCATCACTATTGTTTTTAATTACACAATGCCTGTATGCCTTTTTTCGGTCCAAATTGTAAATAAATGTGTCATCACCCTGTGGTTCTGAGTCCGGAGTCTCCTGGCAGGGTGGTGGCATGTGAGGGAGGCAACTTCCCCAGATGGGTGGGGTTGGGCGGTTTCCCTCAAAACTCATTCCAGGGCTTGGGCCCCTGCTGCTCCCCTATCTGCCTTGGGAAACAGTTGCCTGCCCTGTCCCACAAGCAGGAGCTGGCTATTGGGTGGGAGCGTTGGTGGCGTTAGGACTTGGATTCGTGGTGTGTCTTACAGCCACGTGACTTCACCTCTATCATGGACACAGGGCTTCTTCCAAGCAAGCAACAGGGAGAGAGGATTGATTGATGGATCACCCAGGCCGGAGATGAAGGAGCCCCACAGACCAGGCTGGCTGCCCTCGTGAAGATTGGCAGCCTCAAATCTCTGGAGGGCTGCTCTGGATCCACATGGACCTGACGGGAGGGGCTCGGTTACATTCATTGGGTTTGGGTGTTGGTGGGATCAAGGAGCTCACAGGCTAGCCTCAGGCCTCTGCCTGCCCCACAATCCGTCTTGGCCCCAGTGAGGAGCGGGTAGAACAGAGCACTCCAGACCTACATCATCCAGTTTGTTAGAACCAGAGAGAAAGTACCTTGCTCTTGACTTGAATGGATTCAATATCTATCAACTCAAAGCCACGTACACCCTCTGATTGGCATCACCCAGATTGCTATGTACATGTCTTAAGCAGCCACCCCTCCTGCTGGAGTGAGGGCTAGAGGGGAGGGCAGGCTGGTGATGGCCCAGCCCGAGCACAGGTCTTGAGTGTGCTAGATACTGTAGGTTTTAGGCCTGGTGACAAAGGACGTTTCCCAAGGTAAGGGATGTGGAGCAAACAAAACATTACCAGTGACGCATCCCCTCCCCCAACTCCAAGCTTCAGTTCCCTTGTCTGCAGCGGGGCTGGTTCCAATTTTTGGACCTCTGTCCCAGGCACCCTCCCTAACTGGTCAGTCTCAGGTTGTTAGACCCCTGTTACAGAAGCGGTTACTAGGTATGTTAGGTTTTTCTAACCTTGGATTTTAAATAATTGTATTGAGGTATCGTGGGCATAAACTGCAGGCGGTCCCCAAGCTATAAACATACAGCTGGTAGTTACAAACTAGCCCATCTCTAACGGGTTCCATTAAAAACTGGAGGGGTATACGAAGGGTACCCCTCAAAACAATACACCTGCTCATACAGCCATTTTAGTGTACCAGTTTTTGGCAAAAAACAGGATACCTTTCTTGATCCACACACCTTACTTACCTGACCTCATTCCATGTGACTTCTTTTTGTTTCCATGAATGAAGAGGGACATGAAAGGACAGCAATTTGATGATGCAGAAGAGGTGAAGACAAAGCAAGGGAGGTACTGCCAGCCAGCCAAACAAATGAGTTTGAAAATGTCTCCAAGAATGGAATCACAGATATGACAAATGGAGAGTACTTTGAAGGGGATGAGGTGGTTTTGTAAAAAAATTTAGATATATAGCTTTGAAAAAATTCCATTTTGGGGGGGAGGGGTGTGACTCCCTCATACAGTGCTTGGTTATACAGAGGAGGCCCTACTCTACAACACACGTCAAACATCAAAGCTTTGTTACTGTATTGTGTTAAAGAGATTTGCTTGTATGTATCTGCAAGTCTAATGTTTTTCGTGCATAGAGAGGCACTCAACATTCTAAAACAAATGTTTGATTGACATTAGGTACTAACCAGTCTGACTTCGACAGAAGTAAGCCTTACAGACAGAAGCAGGGATGGACAGACGATGCATTTTTGCACGTTAGACCATCGCACCATGAAGATCTAAAGCACATCCCTCAAGCCAGAAGCCGCCTTTGGCCTGGGGCTGCTGTCACGCTGCCCACGCTGCTGCCTCCTGTTACTGCTGAAGAAAGAGTGCGTTTCTCTTAGTCGAATGGACTCGCACCGGGCCCTGTGCACGCTGATTTGGTTTCTTTCCGTCTGCGTCTTAATTTGACGACTCACCCAGGTTCAAGGTACCTAGAATTTATTCCTTTTTACAATTCGGAGGAGTGCTGGAGAGGGACTCCTGATGGGAGGTCAGCCCCTGCTGCTCCACAGGAGAGAGATGCGACTTGCACTCGACTTGCTACTCCAGTGCGTGCGGGCAGTTTGGCCCTGGCCCCGGGGGCTGTGAGTCAGAATTGCCTGAAAGGCCGAGGTTGGGTGGGGTTTGGTTTCAAGGTTGGCTTTCCCACCATTTGGTTTCTCCCTCCATCTGTTGACCAACTCCTCGGTGGTTTCCAGTGTTTTCCGATCCCTAACAAAACTGCCCTGAACTCAGAGACAAGTCTTTGTGTGGCCGATCTCCTTGTCTGGGGTAAATGCTTAGCAGTGAAATGGTGGGCTCAGGTGGTAGGGGTCTACTACCAGCTGTCCCCATGGTGGTTGGGAATATGGGTCCCACTTTTTTCTCATCGGAGCCCTTGCTCTGGCCTGCCTTGGGCATTGTAGCCAGTCCAACAGGTACCAAGTGGTACCTCAGCGTGGTTTTCATTTCCATCTCCCCTTGTGGAAATTTACATCGAGCATTTTCTCCTCTGCTTATTTGTTGTCATATAGCTTTGGGGAAGCATCTGTTCAAACCTGGTGTTCTTTTCCTTACCTGGGTGATTTGTTTCCTTACTGTTTGGAGACCCCCGATACTGTGGACACGGCCGATCCATGTTTTCACAAAGACAGTTGTCCAGGCCATGGCTGTTCACTCTCCACGGTGGCATTTGAACAGCGGAAGTCCCTGTTTCGATGGAGTCTAATTTAGTCTCTGATGCCGTCTTTGCTCACCTAAGAGTGCAGAGGGTTTTGCCCCGGTGTTCCCTTCTAGACGTTTTCTAGTTGTAGGGTTACATGAGGTCAGTGATCCATTTTGAGCTGCTTTTCGTATATACGGTGTGAGGTGCGGCTCCCTGCTCGTTTTCGTGCGTGTGGAAACCCAGCTGTTCCACAATCTGTTGAGAAGGCTTTCCTCCTTTGCCTGGGTGCCTTGCACGGGAATTATCCCTAAAGATGGACACTTGTTTCGGTAGTTTCTGTTCTGTTCGATCTCTGTTCACTCATGCATCATGGGGTGGGGGTCTACTGTGTGTCTGTAAATTGGGTGAGGGTTTACAAATCAAATAGCCATTTTTAAAAAATACTGGGTGACTAGTTTTCTTACTGTTTTGAGACTTACGGTCATTTAAAAATAAACCTGATAAAACATCAAAAATCTTATAAACTGATTTTATAAAAACATTTTATAAAAATTGATGTAACATTTTTTATCGTTTTCAACTATGGATGTATCAAGCCTCCCAATGACGTGCTCTGCGCGGGGGTCTGTTTTATATCCCAGTTCCCCACTGTTGGCCCCCTGGGAGAAGCAAACAGCCGAGCACTCAGCTACTCGTCCAGCGGTTTGCGGTTTGAACCCACCCAGGGACACCTGGGGAGACAGGTGTGGTGAAAGGGCCCAGGCTTGAAAGCCCCGTGGAGCAGTTTGACTCTGAAGATGGCACGGGGTTGCTGTGAGCCAGAACCGACTGGACCCAGTGAGTTTGGTTGTGTTATGTGCCAAGTGGTGTGTCCGGTTCAGGAAGGCAGCAGGGAACAGACAGCTGTGCCGACTCATGAGGGGTACCAGGCACATCTAACACTGGCCCTTCCAACACTGTCAGAGGCAGTCCCGAAAACGGGGCAGAAGTTATGGAAAGAGGTCGGTGGTGCCACCCAGGCAAACGCCAGGAAGTGTGTGTGGAGGAGGCAGTACCTTGAGGGGTGCCGCCTCCTTCAAAATTAGAAGGCAGTCTTGGTGGCTCCATGGTTAAGTGCTGGCCTGTTAACCAAAAGGTTGGCCTTTGGAACTCAAGCCCCTCTGCTGGGCAAACCGGTGTCAGTCTAGCTGATGGATTCACCGCCTTGGAAACCAATGGAGCAGGTCTACTGTGCCTTAGAAATCAACCTCACTGCCAATGAGTCGAAGTGGACTCCTGGCAACCCTGTAGGACAGGGTAGAACTGCCCCCATCTCTCCTGTGAAGCAGCTGGTAGTTTTGAACCACTGACCTTACGGATGGCAGCCCAACTTGTAACCAGGACACCACCAGGGCACCTGTTTTGCCCTAGAGGGTCGTTAAGAGTAGGGATTAACTTGATGGCATTGGATTTTAAGGAATTTGACCCTTCTCCACTTGGTGAGTAGACGTGAGGGCCACGTGCATGGTGTCACGGGTTTTGTCTGGTCCATATCAACCTGCGCCCGGCAGTCCTGAGTCAGCGGGGCTGGTGGGCCCTGTGGATCAGGGGCCTCGGGGCTCACCACCCTGAGTCAACATTTCGTTTTCCTGCTGAGCGAGGGCCTTCTTGAATCTGCATGTTGAAACCGCACCCTTGGAGGAAAATATCAAAGTCCCCAGAGTTGTGATCAGGGCAATTGGCGAACACCAGTCATCGCCACCGTTTTCAGACAAGAAAAAACCCCGTCCAAAGTTCTTTCCTAGGCCGACAAGAGAGGCCTGAGGCTGGAGGTGAGCAAAACCTTGTGTTTGCTTTTTCAAGGGCCACTAGAAGTACCCTCCTCGTCCTTGCCCCTTGGCTGAGCCGGGGGGGAACTACATGGAGACATTTCCTGCCTCAGCTCAAGACTGGAGAAGGGTCCGCCACTCATGGGCCTTCTAGTCTCCGTCCATGCGACCACCTTCATCCGCCCCCCAGACCCCCTGCTCCTTGGGCATGACTGCCCTCCCTCCCTCCACGAAGAGGTGATGAGCCCCAGAGACTGTCCCAGTTGTGGGGAGACTACAACAAACAGAAGCCCCCCCCCCAGCCCACCAAGCACAAGGCAGATGAAGAAATGGACCTACACTGTAGCAGCAGGTGGTCAGAAGACTTACAGAATCCTAGGTCGGAAGGAGAGTGAGGGGCAGGGTGTTTTCCAGGAAGGGTGGTCCCGGGTGGTCCCCTGAAGAGGTGTGAGTGACGAGCGGAACCAGCGGCACAACTGTCTGGAGAAGGCGA